TTTCCTGTTGTTGTTTGATCCATGTAGCTCATTCATTGTGCATTTTGCAATTTTTCCACATCTTACACCAGAATTCCTCGACTTCTTGAATATTATGTGGGTCATTTATCTCTATTTTATTCTTTCCCAGTTCTCGATAAAAATGTCTTGGTATCATTTTTGAAGATGTTTTGTTACAAGAATCTGTTTCAAATCCTATCTCCATAAAGCAGTCTGGATGTTGTTCTTACCAATTTCTTGTAGTTTCCTTTCCTAAGTGTTGCAGATTTTTCAATGCAAATATTAATCTACTCTGTCATGCCAAGGTTTATATTCCGTGGGTGCCAATACTGCGCAAACTAATACAAAGTGGTCAATTGACTCTGGATATTTATAACAGAATCTGCATTTTGGGTGAACACAATTTTTCAGTATGTATGCTTGGTATTTTCTAGTTAGCAAACATCGGTCATGCGCAGCAAGAATAAAACCTTCGGTTTCAGCTTTTAAGCCTGCAGTACGTATCAACTGACGGGTACGGCGTTTGTTTACGTCAGCTTGTTTGGTAGAGGCAGAGTATTGACCCTTAAGCTGTTTATCTTGTCATTGTTTCTGTATCTGGTCGTTTGCATTTGCCTTTTTCTTTCTTTTTAAATATTTTTGCAAATACACTCGGTGTATTATTCATAACTTGCATTTTTTCACCCACTTGAAACTCCATTTTGAACTTGTTTCTTCCTTTATTACTGAAAAATATCTTTGACACAAACAATCATCGTGTCTCGTGTAGTTTCCAGGTATATTTGAAGGCCAATTGTTGTAATTTTGTAAGGCAGTACTAGTTGAACAAATCCACTTTAGATCTGAACACATAGAGATGATCAACATCAGCCTTGGGATGATGCATGCGGTGGCAGGGGGAGAAACTTTCTCGTTTTGGTTGCCATTCGCTTAATGTCAGCTATGGTCCATTTAAGTATGTTGAAATTCAATTGCACCACCGAGACAGACAAAATGATGATGGTTGCTATTCTGCTTTGTGAATCAAACTTGTATTTATCACTACACGCACACGCATGTACTAATTTTTCTTACCTTCTCCTTCATTTGGGTATAAAGTACCCCATCTTTTTCGTTAATTTCTAGGTACCTTTAGGTTTCTTTTTGATCCACTTCCATAATACTTGTTACAATATCTACATCGATTGATTATGCTTTTGTAATTCTCCCTTTTTCGAATGTTACTTTTGCACATTTATCTAATACGAAATCCATACCTATATCGCCAACGAAATATTTTACATTATTGAGGAGAGCCTTCAACTCATTATTATTTTATTTTGCAAAGAGTTTGGGATCATTCCCTTAAAGTAGGTGATTGAATATTTTCTTGTTTTGTTTATAGCCATAGCTATTATTTGTTTAGTTCATGCATTAGGGGTATTAAGGACAGAAAAAACAGAAGGTGTGATAGGGAGTCTCCGTGAAAGATCCCTTGTCGGATATTCACGCGGTTGGAGGTGGCATTGACTCAGGCGTCATTTGAGTATAATGTGGTATTCCACATTCCCTTGCAGTGTTTAAGAAAATTTACTGTCACGAGGGAGGCTTGCACATTTTTAGAATTCTTCTTCTTCTTCTTCTTCTTCTTCTTCTTCTTCTTATTATTATTATTATTATTATTATTATTATTATTGTAGTAGTTTTGTTGTTGTTATTATTATTATCATTATTATTATTATTCAATGATACATGCATTAGCGCGTTATAATCTAAATTATTAGGTAATCAGTCTATTAAATACATGAATTTTGATTGAAAAATATTTAATTAAGTGTTAGTTAAGCGAAAGAGTGTTGGTTTACAATTTCTTTAATCCATTTTAAGTAGTGGCTACCCAGGATTTTGTTAATGCACTTGTCTTTATCGTATTTTGTTCGAACCAAGAATTTCAATTACTTTAAATATTCCAATGCTTTAATTCCTTTTCTGAATCCTTATAATTACTTATTCCTGCTATAATTCATCATATATTTTATCTCGTAGTATGTGAAGGCATTTCCTCTTTGTACCTTTTAATCTCATTGTAGATTTTGTACTTATCAGTCTGAATGTTAAATTCAAACAGAATTTGAATCATGCATCAAGGTGAATTTCATAATAATTTTCACGATATAGCGCATTGAAGTACTGACATGTATTATGAATATATTTCCCAAACTTAACATATCAATTAATTTATTCCTTCGATGTCAAGTTTAGACTGTTAGTCACTAAAAGTTCAGTAGCTTCAAAATGGGTTCATACTGTATTGGTTGGGCTTGCATTATTGTTTATTAAATTTGACTAGTATTTGTAAATAGGATTTTATCCAGTCCATCCTTTCTAAAATCTATCCATATTTTCTTCAGTCATTAATATTGTTTGTGTTTATGTACATCAGCATCAGACCTTCGAAGCTCATAACCGCCATGTTTCTTTTCTCCGGGTGCGTTTAAATAGGTTCATCATTCTTTCTTCGCATTTCTTTTTTTTTAATATTTGGTTGTTGCGCATTTCACAGAGAAGATTACTACCTTCAGGTTATTTCTGCTTTTTTATTATTATTCTTGCCATTATTATTATTATTATTATTATTATTATTATTATTATTATTATTATTATTATTGCCATTATTATTATTATTATTATTATTATTATTGCCATTATTATTATTATTATTATTATTATTATTATTAATGGTCTTTCTTATATTTGCACGCGATATGTAAGGTGGATAATATAGGAGGCTGAGTGACAGCTTGTTTTCTCAAATCTCCTGCATATTTCTCATTATCTTTGCCGATGTTAGCAATGCCCTGAACTTGACAATCTGTGTTCTCCCTCGTAGTTCCAAATCATCCACTCACTATTTTATTGTTTTTGACAAGGTTCCAACTCGATAACTATAATAGGCACAGTATAATCCTTCATGTTGTAAACATTTCGCAGTTCCTGTCCAAGGTCATGCTATTTTTCCTCCCTTCATCTACTCCCGAAGGTTTGATACCAGTCTTACAATATGCTAGTTCCTCCTTTCCTCATATATTGTTTTCAAATGTCTTGCTCAGATGTTATCTGGGGATGTAAAAATCCGAGGATAATCTAATCACTTTATCCTCTAGGTGGCTGTTAGACTTTATTGTAATTGAAGTAGAATGATGTTTACACATTTCATATTAGTTCCCATGCATGCAGTTTTTTGTTGGCTTTTTTTTTATTCTTTTGAAGCTATAATCAGCTTTGGTTACTTGTGGTGTCTTCAGATAGCATTGACCATTTCTTTGGAGATTGTATTTTTAAACGTTATTAGAATTAGTTGTAATGCATTTGTTTGTGGTTGAATAACGTAACACGTTTTTCCTCCATATATCCTCTAGATAATCACGCTTATATTGTTATTGTTAGTTATCTTCACGTTAATAAGCTTCGATCTGTCGTTTCAAGTTATGAGTACGTGACCTACATCACGGAGTAGAAATTTAACCTTCACACCCAAAAATATCTTCTGTTAAGATAAGTAGTGAGGCAATATCCATCAACGGATTTTTACGTCAGTCGCGTAGCTTAGTAACCCTGATATTCCCTAACGATCACCCGTATGACTATTGACCCGACTCAACGTTGAATTTAGACAACATTCAAAAATAGAAAAAAAAGGGGGCGACAGAAAAGTTCGTGTATTCTCATCGGATTTATTCAACCTTTACAGTGAGTTTGTCCTTAGAGTATTAGAAGTTCGTATAGAATTCCTTATTGATGGCCACAATCTTAACAATATTAAATATGAAAGGGACAGTGTCGATATCAGAAACAGAAAGGAAATTACAGGAATCCGTATGGAAGATAGGAAATGAAGGTAAGAAGAAAAGAGTAAACATCGTTTGTAAGAAGAAACATCGTCTGGACTTTAGGAAAGGAAACAGACAAGATATGAACTACACATTGAAATCACTGAAAGCAATTACATAAACTTAAATATCTTGGATATGTGTCTGCATAGCGAAAGGTGCCTTCCAAAATTTGTGCAAAGTATAAAGAAACGGGAAAACTTCGTTACAAATATTAAAAAGATTACTGAAATGTTATGAAATATTGGTTCTCTTATGTGGCACTGATATCTGGACAATCTACTCATTGAGGAAGAAATAATTCAAGGCAACAGAAATGCGTTTCTGCAGAAGCATGCTGAAAATGAAAATCATGGAATGAAAAGGTGAGAAACATGAAGCTTTAATGACAGTGTTAAGTAAATAAAAAGTTGAAATTTCTAGGATATATAATAGGAAAATGTGGTCGGAAAAATGTGAAACTCTTCGTAGAATATATTCAAAGCAAGTGGGAGAAAGGAAAGCAGCGAATAATCACTTAACTATCTTGAGAAAAACGTTGGCAAAATAGAGAGACGGCAATGCATACCAAAAAATAATCTTATTGACAGATAGAAATAACAGGCAGTCGTGGAGAGACATGATCAGACAGGGATACAGCACATAGAATATCTCGTAAATTTTCATATTCGTGGTCTTATCTTTCTAAATAAATAAACCATAAATGATATCGTAGAATGTAAAACAAGGTTATTTGAAATTTTGCAATTACGTCGCATTAGGCCAGACCGAAGAAACAGTGGATGTATAATATTTAACCGCCCAGTGATTAAACTAGATATTCAATAAAATGACCTAAAACTACAAGAAGGATGGTAGTGAGATTTCAAGGGCAAACAATAAGTGGCAACATACATATCTGAACGAATCGAAACTAAATCAGATACTTAAATATTGGTATGAGAGACCTATACTGGAAACGTGACAAGATAGGATTTTTTTTATTCCTCGCAGCAGCAATTAAGGTGTCTTCATATGAAAAATCGAATAAAGAGATATTTAAATATGCAAGATATGTGAGAATAATAGAATTTCATATAAAGTAAATTTGTGAATATAATTATAATTTTAAAAACAGCAATAAACTGTGCAATGTTCGCTTTACGGCGTTTCCAACTGAATATCAAATATCAGATATTGATATTTGCCTGTCTATTTATCGAACCACATAAGTTTTACATTTTATTTGAGGTAGGTGCAGGTTTCTTTCCGTCAACAGTTAGGTCTCATATTACTTAATACTCTACTCTAAATGTTACAGGCCTTGATTATATTGAATTGTCGTAAAAAGACTTTTCGATATTGAAATCAGTAGTAATCTAAATTTTCAAGGTAAACTCACTCACTATGGTGTGTGTTGTTGGACATAGTAACCAAGCTCTGTCAATTTTGGCATGTTCTGCAAACTAACTCGAGTTCTGGAGTTGCCTTCCTAAAAGAAGATTTCGTTTCGACTGGTCAATTTTGGGCGCTTTTTTCGATTAGAACATTTACCCGATCTAGCCGGGAAGAATAATGATTTTAATGCAACTAATTTTTGGAGGAAAGAACCTATAATAAAAAGTCACAACATCATCTGAAGAAGGCTAGCTTTTAGAGAGGTTAACGGTGGATCATTTAGATTTCCCTAATAGTATTATGTTGCAGCGCAGACTTACCTCAGCAACTTAAAAGGGACAAAAGTTTATATGTTTGGCAATGGAGTGTGGAGATGCCGAATTGGGGAGCTTCGGACTGACGGTGAATCGATTAGCACTTCGTGTGGACAGAAGTACTGGTATCGCTTGTAGCAATTTTTATTGGCTGGTTCTGGGAGATGGGCACGGTACGTTTTTTCAACTATCATCTTTGTCTAAGGCAAGCATTCCAAATTCCATGGACGTTTTCTCTGCATTTTACGTCGATTACACTTGGGTTCTGTAACGAAGACATACCACAGCGACCCAAAAGGTCCAGAGTAGCGTGTATGATTTGCAATGGAGTGTGGAGACAACAAATTGGTGAGCTTCGCACTGAAGATGATTCGGGCAGAACTTAGTGTGGACGGAAGTGGTGGTGTCGTTTGTAGCCATTTTTATTGGTTGGTTCTGGACGCTCATTGGATGAGTGATGGCTAAATCAGGCGCATAAAAGCACGGTACGCTCATTTTAATGTGAGTCTAGTTTCCGGGGTTGGAGTTGAGTACTTCAGCTTGAAGAACGGAGATAATTTTGGAATTGATTTGCCTATTGGACCAATTGGACTTGTATATAGATTTTTTTTTTTATGTGTGCTTCCGAGCAATTCTTACACATCTAGGAAATACATTGCTGTACACAAACCATTTTTCTCATCTATTTTATTCGTTCTTGAGCAATGGATCTCAAATGAGCATCAGATCTTTACCATAATATCGGCACATATGTTTTTCTTACGATAGTTTTGTTTTCCTAGGCTTACATGTTAATGATAGAGAGACAAATTACACAGGATATTACTTTCTTTTAAAACCGTTAACATCCAGTTCAATTTTTTGACTATTTCTTTTAACTTTTCTTCTACTCTAATAAGGCTTTTAACTTAATGCTATCTTTGACCATATGCTCTAATTGTTTAATTTCTGAACAGCAGCGAAACATAGTTGTAAATAAATAAGCGATGTCAATATAAATATTATTAAGGAAATCATTTGACTGAGGCAAATATATTAATAATTAATAAAATTATTAATAGCACGTGGCCTATAGAGTGAGGGAAATCATTTCCAGATAACTCCGTGAAAAATATTGATTTAGACGTCGAGAAATCGGAAAAGCAAATTAGAGTATTTGGGAGATCACCATCGCCTTCTTTACAATGGATCAGTATGATCTCATCGCTGGAATTTTTTGGTTAATTATACTTTCAAATGGAATGGGTTCATAGCGTACGATTTCTCTATCAGAAAAAGACATTGATATGTCGACATCGAAATCCAACCAAAGCAGTTGCAACTGTTTTCGAATAAATAGAATGGGAAAATTATGAATCAGTCTCTTCTCTCTAAAGCTATCAGCTAATAACAAACTAGACTAGGATCTCTGAAGTTTGTTTTCTACAAGTCTCGGTGATTGACAACTCTGAATTCAAAACCTGTTGGGCGTGAAACTAGGACATCATCCAATAAAATATACTTTCTACAAACAGCACAGCAGTAGCAACAGGTGCGCTGAGATCTGTACTATATACGCCATAGATGATTCGACATGTTTATTATATGCACAAAAATGCCAGTAAAATATTTACTACTTTATGTGAAATAAAATCTGGCTAATAATATTGCGTCTTTTAGTAAATATTTTCTGAGCGGTTATTAAAGTCGATCAAGTTTATTTCTACGTGGTTTCCGTGTAAATCATTATCGGCCAGCTTTTCTGTCATTCATTGAGTTTTTTTTTTAAATTTTTCCTCCAATTTTTGAATTTTAATTTGTCAGATTTCACATTTGGAATTCATGTAATTTTCAGTCCTGCTGCAATTTCTGTCTCTTCATAATAAATCGCTAGTTATTTTGTTATGCATAAAATCCAAATTCTGTGATATGTGAGTTGACAAGATCACCAGAAGCATGAATCCTTCTCCCCTTTCTTTACACAGACATTTCGGTAAAAATGCCTCTCCCTGAATATTAAGAACACAAAATTAATATCAATATCATTAGTAACAACAATAATACTAGTCGGAGACTTCTTTAATATCTTGAATATTTTATACATTTTTAATTTTTGTTGGTATAAAATTTATAAAATTTATGCATTTAATAATATTCTTAATATTATAATAAAATTCGTATTATTAAGTTTAATATGATTAAATCGGTTCTGATTTATTACTCTTGTTATTATTATTAAAATTATATTGTTTTATTACATTTATTATAATTAAATTTATCATATTATTATTATTTTATTTCCTTTGGTTACTGGTATATAAAAGTAAGTTCAGAAATGGCCTCATGACATTTTCCACGTAGCCTCATTTTGGAAAAAATATTATAACTATTATTATTAGTAGTAGTATTAGTAAATCAATATTATTATTATTATTATAGCTTTAATTATAATTATATTTGTGTTATGATTATTATTATTAAATTTATGTTGCTATTCTAATTGCTAACATTAAATTTATGTTTTATTATTATTGCTATCAAATTTATGCTATCCTTAATATAGTTATTTTTTTAGAAAATTTGTTGATGTTATTGTCATATGTTAAAAGATTTGTGCAGTTATTGTTATTTTTAGTAGTTTTATTATCATTTTTCTCTGTCATGCTCGCTATGTTTCGCTAGACGCCTGTGCTTCCATACACACTAACGTAGCTTCGGCTACCCCACTAACTCGATTAAATTGAAATATGTATTCTCTAAGCATACTCCATGACACCATACGAACGGCAAAGAAATTAGTTTAAGTGGCGCATGGGGACTGATAATTTCACCTTTACAACATCGATAATCTAGAATGATGATTGGCGTAAAAGAAAATATCCGTTTAAACAGTGAAAGTCGTTTAATAGTGTTCCTTCGGTTTTAGATTCGGAGATAAACCGTTTTAATTTGTACATAAATTTTCTGTAAACTATTTTTTTTTATTTTTCTGACTTTTATAGCTTTTGATCGCAACATTATAAGTCACTACAGCTGTTAAATTTAACTGCTTGAATATAAAATAAAAATAGATTTAATTTTACGACGAAACAACTATTCGCTAAAAACGTAATAATGTAAATTAACAGAAATTGATGAAGATACTAATAAATGTTGAAAATAAATTCCTGGTTAACTCGACACCTTTGTGTAAATCAATTGAAACAAAACGAATAATTACGTTATTATTTACTTCTTTTTCGTATTTTTCTAATAAAACATGACACATAGCACATGTTATTACTTCCTATGTCCATTCCAAGAAGTCCTTCCTTTCAGATTGACCACAAATTCTTAACTGGATTTTAAATTAGTAGAGTTCCCGGGTCAATCTATAATACTTTGATTTGCTCACTGCAAAGGTTTGCTAGTGTGTTCGTGCAGCGTTACAATTTTCGTTCGTTTCTTTGGAGTAACGTCCATCACAGACAATGGCCATGTGCCAAGAAACTGAAAGCCGGGACAATTGTGTCTGGGCGTGATGAAAATCTAGTGCAATCACAGATAAGGCAAGATTTTCAAGGCGAAACAAATTTCATCATACGCCCTGAAAATAGATTCATATTACTGCACACCAGTGCCAATCACCTAATACTGGAAAAATAGAAATCGATTACACCCTGTAACACCACTCAGTCTAAAACTGACCATATGGTGAAAGAAAGGAAACTAAAGCGGTTGTTTCAATTTGCATAAAGGTGTAAACATGAAAACAGCTTTTCAGAATATTACAAAGGAGTTGATATTGATAGAAAATATTCCCGCTAATGGGAAACTGTATACCAGCGTTGTCGACCTCCCGGCATTATATAACCACATCAACAGAGATTTGTTCTAATTTCCCAAGGTTCGAATCCACTGAATACATCGATTTTATATAGACAGTATATTGATCTATAGAATCTGACATGTTTGGCGAGGACCATAATAAGACGATAGTTCATACATCATCAGGAGTAAGACAAAGAGGAAATTAGAACCCCAGTGTATTTCCTAGACTATGCCATGCTCGAGTACAATCAACGATATAAGGAGGCACTGACCATATAAGCATTCCATGCTGCATGCAGAACGAGTCTATCAAGAGAAAACAAGTATCCTGCTTTCCTCTGGACGCAATTGTACTGATGATATGGGGGTACTGTTGATGGAATGGGTATTTATATTTCTGGAAAGTCTGCATCTTGTATTAAGTAATCCAGGAAATAGGATTCAATAAACATTTCCAACACGGAAACTATGATCTGGACTTGAAATGAAAGCAGTGAGATGAAACCTACCAAGAATCCATCGTAAAAGACCAGGATGTTGCGTTAGTAAATACTAAGGACTCCAGATACTTCGGTGTATAGATTAGTCATAACAACATAAGTATAGGAAAAAAGAAAATTAACATGCAATAAGTCGTACCAGAGGCAGTTTAGTTTAACATCGAAAATGGCTATGAGATGAAAACATCAATGTGCTTAATTATACTCGTCAATATTAGTTTTCATACGGATGTCGGTCATGGCGACAAACCCGGTCAGAAATAACTAGTCCACTCCAGCTGTATTAAAATCCATGGGGAAGAAAGGTTTGAGCGAATAAGGCCTGGAATTTTAGTAAAGGTCACTATATCTTGAGCATTGCGGACTGGCGCTACAGAATCACAAAGAACTATAATCAATAACACATCATCTGAGGGCTAACAACAGCAGCAACAACTAAAAGGTATAACAATTGTAAAGAAAATAATAAATAATGATACAATCTAGACATTAACAATCTATGCCACTTCAAATAACCTGTTAGTCAGAAAACTGCATCAATACGGAAAAGACGCAATACCAACAAATGGCAAATACAATACACGTCAAATATCTGAGTCTAAGGATGAAAAGGATACTCGTAATTGAGTGTTTATGCTTAATGGATTTAAGCGTTGGTCGATGAATTTGATGACATAGTAATTGCGTGTTCAATCAGTGATGCAAGCAATGTGTAGCTGAATTCATTATTATAGATTAGATATGGACACAGACAGTGAAAAAGGAACAACATAATTTCGTTGATTAAAAGGGATCATTTCGAAAATACCGTTTACGTTACACAAATCAACATGCAGCTGATGAATACCAGAGTGAGCAACTGACAAAACGTCATGAACAACGGCAACAAAATTGAGGACTATTGCCATTATATATATATATATATATTACTCGATATATATATATATATATTATAAAAGGCATATATATGTGTGTTATTATTAGTAGCAGTAGCAGTAGTAGTATTCTTATTATAAAAGGCACAAGCACTGATATTTCATGAGGTTATATTTATTTCATTAGGGTCATAAAAATGGGCTGAATTCCTATACAAAAGACAATGTGGCCTTGAAGTTCTAATGACTTTGATTTTACGACCTTAATAAAATAAATATAACCTCATGAAATCTATTGTTGGTGCGTTTTATAATAATAATTATTACTACCTGTTTCTGATATAGAGCTATCCCCAATTTATAACCTTTTTTGGAAATCTCAATCATGATCACTAATATCATCAGTGTGTATATATATATATATATATATATATATATATATATATATATATATATATATATATATATATATATATATATATATAGTACAAATATTCCACATATGATTATCCTTATTTGTATGCATATATCTTGCCTTTATATATATATATTTCTCGGGAATATATATGTATGAGTATATATATATATATATATATATATATATATATATATATATATATATATATATATATATATATATATATATTTTTTTATATATATTATATACATTATACTTTTTTGCCGCGTGGTTTTAGATTTATTTTATTTTCTAACGTCAAATTTACCTGTTATATTTATTATAGATATATCTTATTTAAAATTTTATAATAAAACACACAAACACCGACACAAACATAGATTCACACAATATATATATATATATATATATATATATATATATATATATATATATATATAATGTTACATATATAATACAGATTGATACGCTGTTTCACATATCTTCATTATGGCTAGACGTCCCATTGCCTCTAGCTAGGATCGAAATGTGAATTTTAGCGTATTTATTTTCAATAAACACACAGTGACCGATATGACTCAATTTGCTTTTGCCGAAGAGTCTCGTAATATAAGCCATAATAGTCACTTTTTACAAACCCATACTTCCTCCCAAGAGAGCACAACCGAAATTAATTTTTCAAGACTCTCTCTCTCTTTCTCTCTATCTATCTATCTATCTATCTATCTATCTATCTATCTATATATATATATATATATATATATATATATATATATATATATATGTATATCGACTGCTCCTAAATTATAAAAAGTACGTTATTAACATTTGGAATTTATTTGGCCTGTTCTCACACAGTACCAAACGGTACCAAGAGATTGCTGCAGGAAGTGTGTGCCTGCGTGTGTTGTTGTCTGTATGTATATTAATATCGTTTTATTTTTTATATCGCAGATGGCTAAATATATCTCCGATGTTGAAAATGCAATTGGATGCAATTGGATTTTTGAGAATATTTATTTAATGCTTCTTTGCCGATTTCAAATTTCTATGATTTGCTGAAGTTAAATTCAGAGAGAAAGGGGTATGTCAATGTCGGTTTTGCAACATCGAAAACAATCTTGACTGAGCCTATATATAATAGAGCCTATTTAAATATTCTTAAAACTATAGTTGCTTTTTAATTTTTCATATATATATATATATATATATATATATATATATATATATATATATATATATATATATATAAATATATGTGTCTATGTGTGTCTGGATAATTCAAGAGAAGCGATTCCTAATGAATTTTTTATAAATATCGCTTATTTTTCAACACACTGTTCCTTGCCAATAGACTATTAATTATTGAATTCGATCGAATATTATATCATGAAATTTTGCGATCAAACTCCAGCTAATATATACGTGCCAGCCTGAGGGACATTAGCTTGATCTCGAATATGTTAATGAATCAGGGCAAGATTTCGTGTATTTAGACAACAGGCGAATCTATCTATCTATCTATCTATCTATCTATCTATCTATCTATCTATCTATCTATCTATCTATCTATCTATCTATCTATCTAAGATCCAGAATCTACTTTTCATATTCATGATACAAGCCAACGTGGCATCATTATGTGAACATTGCTTCATGCAAATAGGTTCATGCATAAAAACATGCACTCTGATGCAACTCGAAGTGTGCACGCAACGTGAAAGGAAAAACGGAAACCGAACGTCGAAAATAAACGTTATAAGCGAGGATATCTGTGCACACAAGTCGACGCATTTACATAAAATGCGCTACAATGATTGAAGACTTCGCAAATTCTGCAAAACATGCTCTTTTCGATTTAGCTTTCACTAACATTTCTGTTTCAAGGAAAATCAATCTTTCTTCTAATTCGAATCTTTTTCGCTACGATTCGCTCTCCTCTCTCTTCGAGGCTTATCCTCTTTTTCCTTATTACCATTTTGCCTTTTCTTATATTTCCTGCAAGATTCGCTGTTAGCTTTCCTTCTCATCTGTTCTCTTCTCGTTTCATCTTCTGGTATCCTGACACTCTCTAATCTTCCCCTTTTAAGAATAGCGTAGCTATTCGTTTTTCTTATACTTTCCTCCAAATCTTTTTCTGCATATCCATTTTTACGCCCAAACTATCTTCTCTTTTAGCCTCAATATATTCGAATTTATTCTTCGCATCTGTAATTTTCTAGACTCAACTATCAGTTCTCCTCATCAATTTTCTTCAGATCCTTCTCGTTTTCTACTCATCGCATGTTTCATTACCCATCTTTACTATTATTATCGTTTGTATTCATTACACAAATATCCAGATTGTCTAAAGTTCCCTTTTTATCAATTCCTGCTTAGCACGGCCCAACTGTCGCCTGTTTTCTTGGAAAACCTTTTCTCTTTATGTTCTTCGAAATTCTCTATTTTCCTTTTTTACTTATTGCCTTGTGTCTTCATAAAGCTTTATTTTTATACCGACTATTTTCTGATCTTTGTTTTAATCGCATTTATCATTGTCTCTATTTTAAATTCCATTTCCACTCCCGTATTTTAATCGGATAATCCAATTCTTTTCAATCGTTTTCTTCCTTTTCATCTATTAAATCCGTGTCGACACTAAATTATTATTCATGACCTTTTTTTTTCTGATATTTCTTTTTTTTTTAAATTTGTAGATTTTTCCCTTCACTTTTCATTCTTTTCTCACTCATTCTTCATTCTTTGATTTAATATATTCTTTTCGCCCACTTTATCTTCCACCTTTTTCCTTCATTTTTCAAATATTTTTTTCTTTATTTCCTACTTTCTTTCTTTCTTTACTTCTTTCCTTCTTTCTTACCTTCCTTCTTTCTTACCTTCCCTCTTTCTTTCTTTTTCCCTTCTACCTTCTTTCTTTCTTTCTTTCTTTCGTTCTTACCTACTTTTTTATTTCCTTCCTACCTTCTTTCATTCTTTCTTTCTTTCTTTCTTTCTTTCTTTCTTTCTTTCTTTCTTTCTTTCTTATCTTCCTTCCTACCTTATTTCCTTCAATATTTCTTTCTTTCTTTCCTACCTTCTTTGCTACTTTTTTCCTTGTTTCTTAGCTTCTTTCCTACACTTTTCTTTCCTACATTCCTTCCTCTCTTTCTTTCATCCATTCATTCTTTCTTTCTTTCTTTCTTTCTTATCTACCTTCCTTCTTTTATTTTCCTTTTTCAGTTTCTTTATATCGTTCTTTCTTTTTCAATTTTTTATTTATTTATTTATTCTTTCTTTCTTTCTTTCTTTCTTTCTTTCTTTCTTTCTTTCTTTCTTTCTTTCATTCCTACCTTCTTTTCTTTATTCTTTTCTACCTTCTTTTCTTCTTTCTTTTCTACATTCTTTCCTTCTTTCTACCTTCTTTCCTTATATCTTACCTTCTTGATTACATTTTTTTTCTTTCTACCTTCTTTTCTTCATTCATTTCTATATTCTTTTCTTCTTTCTTTTCTACCTTCTTTCCTTCTCTCCTACATTCTTTCTTTATTTCTTACCTTCTTACCTACATTTCTTTCTTTCTTTCTTTTTTTCTTTTACATATAGTCCTTTCTTTCCTACACCATTATGTTATGAATTTCTCTAAATTTCAACTCTAATGTTTTTGGTTTCTTTGTCAATATTTATTGTACTTTAAATTTCCATACATTCTAGTGAATTAGATTCTGTTTTTTTCGTCACCCATTTTCACCTATCTCTCTCTATTTATCTCTCTCTCTCTCTCTCTCTCTCTCTCACTCACACTCTTTTGCCCATTATAAATTTGTCCCTAATATACTTTTTCACCTCCGACATATATTTATTATTCTTACCTCATATTTCAAACTGCAGTTTATACAATATATTCCAATCTCGAAATGTGGTAATACCTTCCCAATTTTTCTAATATTATCTTTTTTCTGTCTTTAATCTATTATTCCTGACATCCTCTTCCCATATATACATACAGGCGCAAATTCAACAGTAATATTTGACAAGTTCCAACCGTAAAGCACGGATTTGTATGATCTATCTGAATGCGCAGAATTGTTTCTGAAGCTCAAATTAATATATAACTACATTTAACACTGACCTTAGTGCAATAGTTATAGATGTATGTCGGCAAATATATTGATATTATTGTTAGTTTGATCAGCATTAGAGGTTTGTATATTATAGCCTTATGCGGGGTGAGGCTCAGATATGCATTAACAGGTTCTTTAATAGAAGGCTATTAAACTACTGTTGGGAATTATGCGCATTGTAATGAATGAAAGCTAGATTATTTGAAACTTCTAAATTTGTGTATTGAATGCATGAATCACCACAAATAATTTTCTTCAATTTCAGATTGTCTTGCTATTATTCTAAAAATATTTTCTATTGTTATTATTATAATAGAATTGCTTATTAAATTAAACTTTATAAAAATCCTCAGTGGAATGTTTATTTGAAAGGACACTTATTTTATAAGGTGAAAAATACTCACTGTTGAAAATTTTCTAGGCAATATTTGTATTTGCTAGACAACATGAGTAATTTTGAGAAATATATTTTATGTGTTATTTAATCATTTCTCCTAATTACATGATTTTAATTAGTGTAAAGTTTTCTTTCTAATCGTATTTCCTTATTTGCTAAAAGATATCGGATTGGTTTTACTTTTCATCCTGAATTTTGTTTATTTTCCTTTGGTTATAATATATCAATTACAGACAATTAATTTTGATACCCAAATCCATTCATCTTCTTTCTTCTTTCCAATTTCTCTTCACACCTTCTCATTATTCTCTTATTTGTATAGTTCCAAAATTGTTTTTTTTTTCGTTTCCTCAAGCGATTATTGTTTCCTTCATTGCATTTTAACAGTGTCTTTCCTTACTTTCTCTCTGCAGAGCATCTACAGAATCATTGCATAAGTAAATACGCATTATAATTTTACGAAGACTTGAATATTGCTAAATGCTTACCTATTTCGAGACAATTTACCGCAAATAAGAATAGTTAGAATTAATTACAGTCCTTCACAATCCATCAATTTGCTGGTCGTTTTAATAGATAATGCCTCTGAATAAGAAATCGGAAAGCCGAGTTCGAATCCCAGCCGAGATCGTTACATTCACTTACCCGCAAATATATTGAATGATTTCATTTTCTAACATTCTTTCGTACGCAGTAACCTCTTGATTCTGAGTGGCTTTATTACCTTGCTATTAGAGAAATGATTACAAAATGAAGGTTCTCTGTGTTAAATAGTAGGATACGTCATCTCAAAAGTATTTTTAATGCAAATGCCACGACAAAAAAAAGGTTATTGCAATAAACAATATAGTTTCGGCTTAAATGACGCATAAAATTTTGATACACCATAAAAATGAAAACAAATAAATTAATCAGTAACTTCATATATCGGACAGATGTTCATCTCTCAGTCCATAATTGGTCAACATCAATTCGAAATGACATTGGGGATTTCACTTGGAGCAATGAATAAGTGAACCGTAAATTCACCCATGAAGTTAATAAAAACACAACAGCTCAGTCGGTAACTGACCAATCATTTACGTAATATGAATAGGATAGTACTCAATTCTGTTAAGAATTATTTAATCTGCCGTAGATCTTTCCTGAAGCATATTACAGAATATTTAAATTACATTTAGTGGAAGATATGTTATTTTAAGATCTTTGCAAAGCCTTTCACTTTTCTTTACCTCCATTCTTACCTATGTCAGTTATTTAAAATTTACAATATACATCGGCTACTGACTACATCTGGATTATTATAATTACCATATATATTCGTGTAAAGGATGATGTTTATTTTAATTTTAAAATACAGCTATACCATTTTACTATAGTAAATGGATATATAATTTGTTTAACGTCGTGGCCAGAGCCAGCAGTACGTACGCTAATATAATATCTCGTGTATGTTGCGGCTACCTTAAAATTAGTTTAAAATTACGTCTTCAAAAGGTGCATTAAACACGAGTTTATGCGGTATTCATTTTATTTTCTTGTACAAAAATCTGCTGTTATCTTTTCCTTTCTACTGTCGCAATGCCGCAATTGTCTTTCTAGTCTAGGACTATTTCCAAAACAAATGTCTGATGAGCTAATTTCTTTGATTTCACCATTTTAGACATTTAGAACTCTGATTTTTTCCGTATTCCAAAAGAAAAAAAACACACACCATTCGCAAAGCATTTTCACAAGAAGTTCTACGCTCTTGTGGAGAGTTCCCTAATTATCATAATCGTTAACCACTTTAAGGGACAATCGTTATCGTGGATTATCCTAATCATCTCCATTCTCTCTTCTCCCTACCAACTTTTTCTTTTCCTATTACACTAATCATAATCACTTTTAAAATAAACCTCTACATTGGGGGATTTTGAAACTTATATTGGCTGAAATCTAATATAAAATAAATTCATATTAGCATGGAACACGTAACGTCTAAAGAAGCATCATCTGTAAGCATAAACGGATGCGAATTCTGACATTCACTAGGAATAAAACCGTAAATGAACGACAATGTAATATGCAATATATCTGCGAGAAACAACGTTTTATATTTTAAATTTGCATATGAAACATTGTTAATATCTCTCTATAAAACAGAAGTTGTCTGTGTGTACGTGATATATTTTTAATCGGGATCCATCGAACCGATTTTGACCAAACTTGACACATACATCTTACCATAAAAGGGATAGGTTTTTAGCGTAAAAAACGATAATTAAAAAAAATAAAGCCGATCAAAAATCGATAAATTCAACTGTTTTCTTCCGATTCCATTCAAATTCGGTATGTAGGTTACTTACATCATGACAAGCTCAATGATACCTCAATTTTTATTACTTCATCACTGCGTTTAGTGAAAAACCGCGTACGAATAATCTTTTTCAGCATAAACCGATTTCACCAGAAATTCTAAACTAAAAATTTCCTCAATTTTCAAGCAATCTAATAAAAATTTCACTTAATTCTAGCCAACAATAAATTGATTGGTTTAACAGTCATTTAAATTGAAAATTGAGTCCACCCATAAAATAAAAACCCGCGTAAATAGTGAAAAATGGCGATTTGTACTGGTTTCTTTCTTATTTTTCGTTGATCTTTCAAACAGTTTTCATCAAACTTAACAATTGCTTTATAAATGTATCCTCTTTTAGAACCCTGGTAGCACACTGACAACTTGAATTTCAAAAACTGCAAAATCACTGTTGTCCGAAGTGGGTTTTCATGTTGCCTGTTTTACCCCTTCATTTATTCGGTTAACTTCGATTGAATGAATACAGACTACTTCTGTTATATCAGTAACTTTATCCACTGGGCCATGTGTCCTTGAGGATGTTGGTTAGATCCAGTGACAATACACATATAGTTGTGTTTTCTTTACCGTAGTGGTGATTCACAATTGCATTACAACAAAACATGGAAAATTGAGTTAAAGGGAAATAACTGAGACATCCGGAAGATGCATGGTACGTGGAACTAGAACAATCTACCCTTGTAGGCGAAATAAAGGGCTCGGTTAGAAATTTCAATCTCCAGAAGAAGGCTGGAGCGTACAACGGTCGAAACGTTGTGAATATTGCAATGAAGCTCAGGATAGCATTTCGAATAATTTAAATCAGTAATCATAATACCAATTCTCAGAGATATACAGATATATATATATAGAGAGACATAGACATAAAGGCCGAAGCGTACAACGACCGAAACATTGTCAATATGACAATGAAGATGAGGATAACGGTCCGTATAATATAAATAATACGAGTAATCATAGTTCCTCATCTCAGAGATATAGACAGCCATTTTATCACTAGAAGCTAGTCACTGGATCTAACCAACGCCTTTATCCACAGCGTCATGTGTCCTTGTGAATATGGCAATGAAGATGAGGATACCAGTCAGAATAATATAAATAATACAAGTAATCATGATACCTCATCTCAGAGATATAGACAGATAACGCTACAAAAGTTTGGTTATATTTCTCTCCAATTCTTCCCATCTATCCTGTCTTATTTCCACACTAAAAATTATAATATTTCTCTTATTTTCTCTTGTATATGATTTTAATTTTGAATTCAGTTACTATGTAACTTTTACGCCAGCTTATATTCAACTTGCTCTGAATATTCTATCTTAGGTTTTTACTTTTCTTTCTCTTCGCCTCTTGCCTTTTGCCGACATTTAATGCAAGTTTAAATGAACCATCTTCTCTTTTCACAAAGGAAAGATGCAAATCCCAACGGCGGCTCATTGGTATTATCGGTCGATTTTTGACCGATATTCTTCTGGAGTGTTACGTGCAGGAACATTTACAGGGGAATAATTCTTACTTCTCCCACCAGTCATCCAACACAATCTGCCGTAAGCCTGAACCCCGCTCCTCAGAAACTGACTGCCTTCATGTTCTTGATTTGGCCTGTTGAAAATAACCCCGCCACATTCCTTATCTGACTCTCTTCATCGCATGGTTTCAAATCGCCGTCCATTGTAGATAGCGTTCTTTCATCTCGCCAAATAGATTCCAAACATGCGAAAGAAAGATCGTACTGATTGTATTGCAAATATGAATCAATATATCTGTAGATTAATAGATATGTATATTAGTACGTGTCTTCATACAAGCATTTCCTGATCATTGATAGATAAATAAGAACGCAAAATTAATGAATATCTATGCAAACATGCATCTCTCTCTCTCACTCTCTCTCTCTCTGTATATATATATATATATATATATATATATATATATATGGATATGAATCATTAATTATATTGATATATATCTCAGTGTATAGAATCAACAGAATTTATACAATGAAAGAAAACAGCACGAGAATAGATAGATAGATAGATAGATAGATAGATAGATAGATAGATCAAAATTATATATAATTGAAGTTTAAGTTCAGTGGGTGTCTAGTAATGCCCATCCATCTATATTACTGATGATAGATCAATATCAGCTGAGCGTTTGTTTCATCGATCCATTCATTGGAAAAAGAAACATGAAACCAACATGCACGCTGAGTGTAACGAAAGTACAGTTTGTGCTTAAATAATGCATCTCTCTCAGTTTATTCATATCTATCTATCTATCTATCTATCTATCTATCTCAATGAATATATCTATATATCTATCTTTCTATCTCAATGAGTATATTATCTATCTATCTATCTATCTATCTATCTATCTATCTATCTATCTATCTATCTATCTATCTATATGCGTATATCTATCTATCTATCTATCTATCTATCATTTCAAAGGCATTCTACTTAATCTCGATCATGATCTTTATTATCCATTTTTTTTTATCGTTCCGTTAGGTATTTTAAAGCTGTGAATGTGCAGGGAGCAAATTTTGCATAATGACAGACGCAATTGTTACTTATTCTCCAAGACATTTGGCGAGAAAATATGAGCGGGAAATTTATATTTACATTAAGGCGACATCTTTTCTTTACTCTTTAAACTGTTCATTGCCTATTTTGATTTGATACCTTCCTGGAACTTTTAAATGATTTTAGTTTTTACGTTTTCTCATTTTCTTGCAGAACATGATTCTTTTTCCTGGGGATTCTTGACGTTACAACAGATTTATACTTGCCTTTTCATCAATAAATTGTCACCGTGTAAACTTTTTATATTGTTAAACTTTAGGAATAACCCGATGGATATTCCTTGCAAATTCGATGTTTATATAATGCATATTTTCACTCAGTAACGTCTAATATCCAACTGAGAAAATAAATAGTGATATTCATTTCAAAAATGTACCTCATGTTCCCTTTTAATTAGTTGATATTGAACAAACTGGATATTTTCTGTCCATACCACGTACATGTATATGTGTAAGTTTTCTAATAATTATTACTGAACTCCATAAATGAGTAGCTGCAAACAAGGTCGAAGACAAGTGAAAAAACTTTACATATACTTCACGAAATTAAATAACTAGATATTTGTCTAATATATATTATATATTTTTATTAGAAAAATTACACATAGATCCATGTACGTGGTATGGATAGAAAATATCCAGTTTGCTCAATATCAATTTAACTAATAATAAGGGATCGTTGTCCAGGAGAAAGATTAGTATTTTTAACGTTTTTCTCTATAGGAAATACGCTAGCTGCTCGGAGAACTCAATTCATACTTGAAGAGTAATGCTTAATAGCAGTAGGTGAAGCTGTTATTTTTTTTATTTTTTTATAAAAACCTTTCCCTTGAGAGATCAACCGGATTTGCGGGAGCATATATAGTCATCCACAGAGAGACTATTTTACTGTATCACAGCTCTTCAGTCTGGATAGACGCCCGATTGCTTCAAGCCGGGATCGAAACCCGAATTATTTGACATCAATTAAATACCTTACCCCTAGTTCATAGCCTACGAACGGATATTCATGAATAAACTTTTATTTTCAGTAGAGTAAACATATTCAAATAGAATTGATGATGTAATTTTAATGAGCCGTCGAAGATTCCGAGAATGTATTGAGAAGGATCGTTAAAACTTGGATATTTTTTTGAAAACATATCAGTTCTGCTTTTCTCAAAATTATACTTCATTGAAATGCTGATAATTTTCTCTCCCCGCCTCTATTTCTTTCTGTTTCCCTCTCTTTCTTTCCATTCAAGATCTTTACATTCCCATCCGCACAATTTGGATAATACTTCATTAAGACTATGCTCTTACATCTTTGTTGTTAACCAGTAGAAGAGAAGGACAAATTTACCAAACATATTTATGCATGGTAGCTTTGTTGTTTTATATTAATTAAAAAGAACTGGTGATATCGTTGCTATCAGTAAGATTTTTTATAGTCGGACTAATATCTTTATCTTTGTTATCAGCATCATATCTTCTTCAGGTGGACGGTTGTCTGTTGAAGTAACCTTCAAAATCGCTGTGGTAAACTGCATATAAATCGTCTTGTTCTTTCTTTTAGCTAAAGTTAAGCTACTCTATATAAATCACTATTAACAGCGAGAAAATATACTATATAAATACAAGAACCTCTTCTTTAATTCTCAAGGTTTTTTTCCAAGTGGTGGACTCCTGAAGCAAATTTTTAGAACCTTGAATCAAATTTTAATTATCTCGGTGTAAAATTCAAAGTCCGTCCTGAGTATGACGATGAACTATACCCGACAGCAAGGCCTCTGATCAAGAAGTTTTGTGGAGCGTGCGACCAATTCCTAATTGCTGCTGTTCCCAGGTTAACCCTGAGCCGAAATTCCAGCTCCTAGACATCTAGTTAACCCACATCGGGAGCCAAAACACCATAAAAGAATAAAATAGTTTTATAGTACGAATACCAGCAATACTTAAAAAAAAAGCAATACATTTGACTACCGACAAAAAATCTCTTTACAAAATTACGTCAATGATACTTGATCTACAAAGTGATTCTTCAAAAAATACATATTCCGTTTATTCAAACATATTATAAAAAATATTGTTAGCATTAAATAACCCATTGTGGTGTTGATATGCCTTAAAACGAAAGAAAGCAAACCAATAAGGTCAGTAATAAATATATATTACACTGTAATATCTTATGAATGTTTGTTATCGACGGAAAATGTGGAATCTGTTCAACTAGTTCAGATTTCGGCCTAGTGGACTACTAAAGACATTCTGAAATTCATGAATCCATATGTTGCCACTTTAATTATGTATTAATTATCAGAATAGAATCTGCTATCTATCCTTGTGTTGCATCTAGTCTCAGTGAACGATTAATCTGTATTTAAATCCGTGGTGAAGTTAATAGGAAATGCCACTTCATAGATAAAACAAGTACAGAAATCTGGGTAGACCACTTATCCCCTGCCTCCTGAAAGGACATTAAATTAAAAATATGATCAACCTAAGCTATAGTATATTTCATCAATTAAATCTCGTCAGCTTATTTGAAATAATATATATATATATATATATATATATATATATATATATATATATATATATATATAAAAAAAAGGCTTAAGCATTGATATTCCATGGTCATAATTTATTCACTTGGAATCGTAAATACGATCCAATTCATCAGACCTACAAATTCGAAAAAGAAAACAGAAAAAGCAGCTCCGGAAATAAAAACAGAATTTAGAGACAGTGTAAGTATGAGGGGTAATAGACTAGGGAGGGAGGGGGATTAAACCTTAACAGAGAGAATTTTAGGAGAGGTGAGTGGAAGGGGTTTGAGTAAGAGAAATATGAATGTTGTCGGATGTCTAATGCATAAAGATACATTTCGTGGTGACATACACACACCATAGACGATCTAATGTAGAAGATCAGAATAAGAGGGAGAGAAAGTCGAGGTGGGGGAGAGAGATGGGGCGAAAGAGAAGTAAAATTGAACGACATTTACTGAAAGGGTCGAAGTGTAATTGAGAAAATTTGACAAATTTAATATCGACTACAGGTTACAAATCAAATAAAAACATATAAAAAATAAAGAATAAATATAACGATTATCTAATCTAGCAAGGACCTATATTTCTATGTTCAAAAACACATGCGAATACAGACATACACAATAACATATACACGTATATACATACACATAGGCGTGTACCTACATACACACATACATATACCCATGTATACACATATATAAATATATCCACATATCCACACATACACATATCCATCTATATCCATATACACACGCTTTTCACATACATATACATACATACACATGCACACACACACACACACATATATATATATATATATATATATATATATATATATATATATATATATATATATATATATATATGCACATATATACATCATATATATATATATATATATATATATATATATATATATATATATATATATATATAAAAACGAATGCATAAATATAGGTAGGTATACGAGCGAGCGATCCTATACAGATAAATACAAGTACACTATAGTATGAGAAAAATGTACTCAATGTTAAATAATAAAGATATTTAATATATATATATATTAAGAAAAATATAATATTTTACATTCCTTGCACAAGTGTGGGTTGTGTTACTAATATTATATACCTATATCTATCTATCTATCTATCTATCTATATATATATATATATATACATACATATATATATATATATATATATATATATATATATATATATATATATATATATATATATATATTGCATTTAATCCATTCCCCTAATCCGGCAATAATCCCCTCAGAACGAGGCAATAATAAATAGAATGAAAAAATTTAGATGGAAACGGAATGAGAAATCTAGGGAAAAGATACTCCTATAGAGAGGAGATGATGGGTATACAGGACGATATGCGAATGTATATTTTTTCGTTGAGGAAATTTAATAAAATAGCTAAATATATTGTAAATAAAATTTCAGAGTTTATGCCTTAAAATACTAAGTATTAATATTATTAAGTATACAATAATAATATTATTAAATATATCAAATTTAACAAAATCCCTGCTCATAAAGTGCTCAATATTAGACTGGAGTTGTCATCAGAAAATGAGATTTAACAGCATTTGTTTATATTTCTGAGATGAGGTATTGTAATTATTAGCCTTATTTACATTTTTCGGACAGATGTCTTCATTTTTATTGTCATCTTCAAGACGTCTCGTCCTTAATACGAAGGGAAATAGAAATATCAGTTGTAACAGACCAGATATGGAGGGAAGAACACCACTAATGAGATGAGGTTTGAAATTCTCGACAGAGAACATGACTGGAAAATACCAAAACCTAAGGTATCAGAGCATATGTTAGGAAACAAAAATCTCTTGAGCCACCCAAGCATATAAATGAATACAATATGGGAACCAGCAATATTAGCAATAATACCGACAAAATTACAATATGAGCTATGGCAAAATAATGTACTGAGACATTAAGTTTATAAGAGCTAAAATGTACACACTGATATCCTCAAGGACAAACAGTGGATAAAAACATTGGTTGGATCAAAGTGTTGTTACTTCAATACCTGACTACGTCAGTGGTGAAGATACGAGTGATGGCACGTGGGACTATAATAATCTACCCCGTTGGAAGAAATAAAGGGTTCAGTTCGAAATTCCAATCACCGAAATGACGACAATGCTAACAAAGTAAATCGATTTAACAACGTGCAATATTTGTCGAAGCAGATTCAATATTTCGTAATCATATTAAAAAAAACACTTTCCGGACTTTCGAAAATAATGATTGCATCGATCATTGTGACACTCTGTTGTATTATACATTTTCAATCTCTCTCTCTCCTCATCTATCTATCTATCTATCTATCTATATATATATATATATATATATATATATATATATATATAATTTAATGAAAGCAGACAACTTTAATGGTCCATGGTTATAATTTATTTCTCCAGGGAGTTTCTTTTTCCCTGGATCATCAGACCTCACTTCCAAGGATGAAAATTATGTTCATTACTTATATATATATATATATATATATATATATATATATATATATGTTGTAATTGCACTTATACAAAATCAGAGTATATTTATTTAAGGAAATAGTGGTTTTCATTAATGCACAACACACAATAATTAAGGAATTGGAATATTTTTCGTTTCGCTTTAAAGTAATCCAGTGTAATACAAACAGTGAATAACAATACGGTATATTCAGGATAGTTTCTTAATATGTTAGCCTCCATTTTCGTCGGGACCGCAGGACGTAATAAATTCATCTTAATCATTAACACTTCCGAATTATGCCCAAAACAAGACAGGAGCAATATTATTCCATTTCGTCAATTAGTTACTGGACACGCCGAAATGTAATCAGACCAAATTTTAGCCCACGGGTCCTTCCATAACGTTGATCATCGATAAATCAATCTCAATCTTTTAAATTCCCTTCGAATAAGAATGCATAAGTCTGCCCCGCCATTGCGTGTTCACTCGGGCTTTAAGGTACAAAACAAGATGCTAGCTTTCTGTGAATTAATATATTCAAATAAACGCACTTCTGGGAGTGGTCCATTCTTAAAATACAATATCTAACATAAGTTTTTTATCTAGTTGGTCGTTTGACGAGGTTAATTAGTAGGGAATCAGAGATAGTTGTGTAAATGAAAGCGACTACAATCAAAAGAAATTCTGTCTAGCTTAAAATATCACGTAATTGTAGAACGTATTGTTGATTGTCGTGTCTATAATCATTAGTCCACTGGAAACTGAAGCAAACGACATTAGGAAGAGAAATAATTGATTAAAGAGAAGAAGTATAGAAATCATTCACATGTGAATTGTTGAAGTGGTTGAAGTAAGCGATCGGAAGAAGTAAAGAATTCTGGATTTAAGTTGTCATTCTCGCAGGAAAACATCAAAAATACATGCCAGAACTTGTTTTTAGAGCAGAAAGAATCGCGACGGAAACTGGATATATTATCTACACTGTCCATCATATGGGCATACTTGGGTTAACAAAAACACTAAGAATTATGCTGGTGATTTGAAGAGGAGACCCCCTTGTTCCCTGAGACAAGTCTTATATACCAACTTGGAAGATGATATTGGAAAATTGAATTATCTGCTATTCAGTTTTAATGTGCCAATTTCTATTGATGACTAATGAACATTGAAGTTTTTTAGAAAATCCTAGCAGGATCCTAAACAATTATTCGAAACATCACTTTACAAATACAAAAAAAACAAATAAATAAAGAACAACAATAGGAAAAAGGAGAGGATTAAAAAAAAGAATAATAAGAATAATACAGATATTATTATTATTATTATTATTATTATTATTATTATTATTTCCTTTGATTTCTGGCGTTTACACATTTGTTTCCTGGTCCCGCCTACGGACTTAAGGTTAGAAATGGCATCATGACACTTTCCACTGACAAAAAAAAATTCATAGATAAAGAGCTTCGTAAAGTGTGGGCTGGACGTGTGAGAACAATTTTTTGTATTTCTTTAAGACATGGACTTCCTGGATTCCCTTCAATTCGTCTACTGGTATATTTTCAAACCAATCCTAGGTTCCAGCTACAACAGGGATTGTTGATGTTCCCATGTGTCACATTTTTGAGATTTCTATTTCAAGGTCTTAGTATTTTGACAGCTTTTTGAATATCTTCAAAGATACATTGCAGTCTTCAGGTACTGCAATTATCAATAAGGAGGTACTTTTATTTTTTATTTGCGGTCGCTAATAACAATGTCTGGGCGGTTGGCTTTGATTATTCTGTCAGTGTGTATTGTGTAGTTCAATAGAATCTCCGTAACTGTGTATTATTATTATTATTATTATTATTATTATTAGTAGTAGTAGTAGTAGTAGTAGTAGTATTTCCTTGTTTGTTTTTTTTTTTTTTTTTTTAAATTTTATGCACATTTCCTTCCGGGTCCCAAGAGACCTAAGTTCAGAAAAGGTTTCATGACATCTTGTACTGATCATTTATTGTAAAATGAATAAAAGATAATACATATTTTCACAGATTTATCACTTCAAACCGTATTTCTTTAAAGCATGGACGACAAAGCATCCTGTTAATGAATCGATTGGAACTTTTTCCAATTAATCCGAGGCCTCCAACTACAAATGGAATTTTTGATGTCTCCATGTGTCATTTCTTTGAGATTTCCACAAGATTCTTGTATTTTCACGTTTTTTTGGAAGGTCTTCAATGATACATTACAATCTGCAGACAGACCCATATCATCAAGAAAGCTTATTCTGCTTCTTTTTTTTTTTGAAAACTATGTATGTAATAGCTTTCATGGTTTGTCCGTCTGTATTTTAACCATAAATATTTTGCAGGTCCTATAATATTAACCGAATGTAAACGCTCTTATCTTGCAGTTTCCTTTCTTTAAAAGTTGAAGATTTTCCAGTGCAGATATTTACCCATTTTTGCCAGTCTCAGTTTTATATTTGTTGAATGCTAACGCTGTGTAATCTGATACAATGGGGTCAACATTTTCTTAATATTCCTCACAAAAACTGCATTTCGATTTAAGCAATTTCTTTAGAATGTTTGCTTGGTAATTTCTAGTTAGCACGCATTGGACTCTTTGCAGCAAGAAGGCAAACTTGGCATTCCTCATTTAATCCTGCACTACACAACCACAGGTGACTAAGGGGGTTTCGTATCCATCAGCTTCAATGAGGCAGGCAGAGTATTGGCCGCCAAGAGGCTTAACTTCTCATCGTTTCTACATTCTATGGCGGCACTCTACAGAACTTTTCTTTCTGAGTGAGTTATTTTCTTATTTTCTTTTTTTTATTGCCGTCATAGAAGATTACCCAAATATCAATCTACGCGCAGGTTTTTTTCCCCGTTTCACCTTTCTTTATGAAATTACTGCTCTCACAAACAAATGTACACAAGAGATTCATAAAAGCAAAAGAAAATGGTTGAATAAATCAACACAGATATTCTCCACACGTCACAAATACTGATATTGTTTTCAGTTAAAAATATGAAAATAGCGTTTCTCTACATTCCAGTTGCTAGGAACATACTGTGTTTTGTTTTTATTAGTTACCTTGTTCAATTAAATTCAGCAATTACTAGTTTGTCTATTGTCATTTTTATTCATAAATATTGTCTTCGGATTAAATCGGAGAAATGTTCATATATATATATATATATATATATATATATATATATATATATATATATATATATTTCTACAAAAATCAGTCGCCTACGCAAATCTCTTTGGTAAAATGAATACGAGCACTCTGGCTGACATTTTTCTTTTACATTTGTAAAATCAATACGCTAGAATTAGCAGTTTCTCTCTGCCGAGTACTGATGACAACAACTCGATCGAGTTTCGATCCTGTCTTGAGGCTTCGAACGTCTACTCGCACAGAGGAGCTTAAAATGATAACAATTTCGTCGTATCCGATCATCGATATCGTCATCCTCACGCCTTATTCCCATTATTCCCTTTGTTGGCGGTGGCGGTGATGATTTTGTGGGTGGGAAACGCGACTTGGCGATTTGGACCCTCCCGAGAGCACTTTATAGATCCTCTTCATGTCAACGGTTGGAGTCTAAAGTCTTGCACCACCCCGTCGCTCAGTGAATGGTTTGCAGCACCGGTTTTTCAAGTCTCAGGCTGGATGTTATTCTGTGAGTGATATCTTCAGCTTATCCTTGATACATCGTTTTGGGCTTCTGCGTAGCTACTTGTCACTGCCGGTTTCTCCAAACAGGATGGTACGTGGGAATCAGGTAGGACGCATTCTGGATACGTTGCTGGCGAGCAACTCGTTGTTGGTGATGTATTTACCCATCTTAGGATATTCGTTTGCTAGAATCGCTCCAGTCGTTTGACGTTCCAGTGGCATAAATCGCAAGAGTACAGAAGAGACGAGGGAGACTACTATCGAGAAGACCATGATTTTGGTTCTTATTGTGAGGCCGTTATTGCTGAAGAGTGTTCCGTACGCAGTATAAGCCGATTTCATCATTTTGTCAAGGTCTCTTTCGCAGATGACATTATTCGAGATGATAATGCCAAGGGAAATTCATCGACGACTTCTTCTATCGGCTGCCTATCGAGATTGATGCTTACGTCAGGTGTTGCTTGTCCGGAAGACGGTTGGATGAAGCTATTTGTCCTTATAAATTTGACTTGCACCCGACGCGTTTGTAAGCATCATTATACAGTCTTGCTTATCTATGAAGGTTAATTGCTGTGGGGTCCGTATTTGCATTATAATCAGCATACAGAAATTTTCTCTCGCGGATGTTGCTACGCTTTATACGAGAAGATAATAGGCGAGGTTCAAGAGTTCGCCGTCGAATCTGTATTGAATAGCAATGTCAGTGCTGTCAAGGGTGATTTCGTTGATGGTGGCGGCGAGGTACAGTGAGAAGATTGTCTGTGCTAACACACTATTGAATCGACAGATTCCACCCTGGCAGAAAAATCCTTACGGAATCATAATGTGGTTGTCGGAATTAGGGGAGTCTTATCGGCATGATCTTCTTTCTCCATCAGCTCCAGGAAAAGATTTGTGAGCAGCCAAAAACAATGATGATCATCTCGGATCTCCAGAAAACTTTCGACAAAGCCCTGAGACAATGTGGGTCACTCCTGCCTTCTTTGACTGTCCGGATTACTTTGTTTCTCTGTTCCGTATGCTCCACGACGGAATACAGTCCCCGTAAACCATCGGGGTGTCCTGTCAGACACGTTTGCAATCTCCGGTGTCCATAAACAGAGATACAAATTAAAGCCGATGCAAAAATGCATGTTTTATTTCTGTATAATAAGACACCAAATGAATAATAAATTATCAATAATAATAAATTGAAAAGAGATCGCCCAATTATACCTCCCGCATCAGAAGAAGGGAAGTGTATAATAATAACAAAAAAACATATTTATACATTATAATTACTTGCAAAAACGATGACGTTTCAGTCCTGTAGATGAGAATGAAAGACATATTACTATATCATATTACTTTGCTTGGAATTGCCAGATAATTCACCATTCTCAAGAATTCATAAACTAGGCTATAATTGACATTAAGTGAATGGATTTCAAAACGAGAAATTTCACTTGCCACCGCATACATTATTCTAAAGGTGATGTTGATCGCCTGTATGCGTCCAGATCCGAAGGAGGCAAAGGATTATTTCAACCAGAACTGTTTTACTAAACCACAACAATCGGTCTTCAAAGATAGTTGGAAACTACAGGAGTCTGAATGTTGATTTTTGTCAAAGGAAATGAAAGAAATCTGAAACTTTATTCAGTAATTGAGGAAGCCAACATATTGAAATTTCGGCATGATAGAGTCTGCACTGGGAAAACTTTAACGGCTTGGTTTCATTTCGTATGTTTGACGACATATAAACCTCAATGGGTTATTTAATGCCGACACATTTTTATTGCTGGTAATATTTTCTTTAAAAATAAAATATAGTTGGTAGTATTATTTTTCTAAAAATGTATTTCTGGTATTTTTTTTCAAAGTATTTCTGGTATGTATTAAAACCTATTTTTACACTTTCATAGTGTTTTGACGTCAGTTTGGGTGTCAAATATATGACCATAGCTGGGACCCTATCAGGTGCTACCACTCCGGGTCAGGGTGGACCTGGGAACATCAGAAATTAAGAGATGGTTCTATGCTCTTCAAAACTACCTGATCATTGGCCTTGCTGTTGGACGTAGTTTATCTTCTTACCCATGACGGTAACTTATAGGGGAAGTAAACTGTAATAAACTGCTTGGAACGACACCCAGAACAGGTTAAAGATAGTACCTGTTCCAAATATTATGGAACTTTACAATACACAATGACAGAGCAAGTAACGCTAATCGCCTAGACAAAAGGAAAACAGAATGTGCATTCTTATTGACCTGGCAATCCCTGCAGATTGTATCTTTTAAGATATTCAAATTAAAAACTATTTTTATACAAGGACCTTTATGTGGAAGCTTAAAAATTGTGGCATATGAGGTAATCAACAATTCCAGTTGTAGTTAGATCCCTCAGGTTGATTAGAAAAGTTTCCGATAGAATTATGGAAGGGATTCCTGGTAGTCAATTCCTTAAAGAAATAAATGAAAAGTATATCACACTTTATGAATAGATTCATCCGTGTAAAATGTCACCTTAAATCATTTTGTTTTACAAACCTGATCAGTGGAAAATGTAATAAAATATTTCTGACATAACCTAATGTCAGAAATATTTTATTACATTTTATTTTTTAATGTCAGAAATATTTTATTACATTTTATTTTACTGATCGGAACTAGGAAAGAAATCTGCCTACAACCAAAATCAAAGAAAACAATAAAAAGATTGCTCAGATTATGATTATTCACAAATAAAGTTGAATAAAGGATGACCTTAAGCAAGTACTGTGTAAATGTAGAGTATAGAGCGTTGTTCTATTAATCAGTCAGTTATGTACCAAGCGGGATACACGCTTAAGCGAACATGTCTCTTTAGATACATGACTGACGAGGCAGATTTTTCCCGCAATATTTTGTCATTTCATTCTGCGGTAGACCAGTTGGAATCCAAGGCTATAGAACCCGGTCTGTCCTGTTATTTACCCATAGCTGGGGTGGAATTACTCCGCTGTGACTCCTAGGCTAAGTAATGGATAGTGGATCGGATTGAGGAATCGGAGAGCCGAGTTCAAATTCCAGTCGAGTCCGTTACATTCACTTACGTGCTAATACCCTTGGTAAAAGTATGAATCGTCTTCTCCTCCGCCCATGTGTATTGTTGTCCGTGTAATAATATATATATAAATATATTCCCAGATCAATTCTGTGCAAAGGCAAATTAGTATTAGATGACAAATGGAAAAAATGTAGCTATAACAACAAATAAATTTCGATTTGATTCGCCTTGCAAAACTCTGAAGATGAAACGCATTGTGAAAAAAATAAGACATTTTTTTTTAGTTGTCATCTTATTCCAATTTGTCGTGTCCTCAGAATTGAACTGGAAATTTAACTATATTATCGACATGTCAAGAAAAAAAATCTCTTAATGTAAAGTAAATTGGGATTGATCAAAATGAGCCTTACGCAGAAGCATATCTTTAATTTTTAAATTTTAATTTTGTAATGTAACGATAACGCGTCGGCAAAATCTATTTTTCCAATTGTCAAAACGCGCGAGCGCACACACACACATACACACGCACGCACATACACGCATACACACACACACACACACACATATATATATATATATATATATATATATATATGTGTGTTTTGATGAATAAAAATATTAAAAAAATA